CTCTGTCATTTTCCTAGTCCAATTTGTTCCCCTTTTTGAAAAGAAAGATTAGGATGATTGATCTTCATTCTTGAGGAATAATGTTTTGTTTTTTTATTTTTTGGGTTAGTTTTAATAGTTGTTTGGTTATATCTGGTCCTCCATACTCTAGGAGTTCATTCGGTATTCTGTCCTCTCCTGGTGATTTTCTATTGTTTAATTTCCTAAACGCTTACTTTACCTCTTCCTCCTCAATATTTATTTCTTCGTTTGTCGTCACCTCTGTTGTTGGTGGTTCATTACCGTCACCTGAAACAAATAGGGATGAAAAGCAGTCTACCCATGTTTCCTTCTGAACGTGTTTTGTTTTTATTAGTTCGTTCATCTCTTTTCTTTGTCGTCTGATCATTCTCCATATTTCTTTTTGTGTTCCGTAGAAGTTAAAAAAATTGTTTTAAATGATTTAGAACAACTTTTTGCACAAACTATCTCTTGAACATAGTTCTGGCATATTATGAAAATGATTATAAAAAAATCATGGGAATATTTTTTCGAACGAACCCGAGATTTTTACAATATCTAGTAAAAACATCCAGAAATATAACTATATTAGTTTTTCGGTTTTTCCAAAAACGAATATCTGCTAGATATGTCCGTTCCAGATTAACCCATTTAGGCCCATAGTTACACACCTTGAATGCAATTTTTTTTACTTTCATACTGAAGTTTTTTTTTATTAGTGTGTTAATAGTTTTTGAAGTGTTAATAAAAATTTAACAATAAAGAAAAACAATTTTCACCTAAAAAAATTTAATTCGAAATAGCGTTAAAAATAGCATAATAACTATAGAAAATAATACAAGCTAGATACATTCTCAATAAATGCTTTAAAATATTTAGGTATAATTATTTTATAATTTACAAGATATTTTTATAGCTTAGGAACATAAGGTAATAATATTGTTCTGAAGCTATTTTCTTGTGGCATTGTAAATTAATTACTATTTATAACTGGGAATAAGCCACAATTAAAGATAAAAAATACGTTTATTGACGTTTCAATTTCCAATTCAATTTTGAGAACGATTTCCGAATTGGAAATTGAAACGTCAATAAACGTATTTTTTATCTTTAATTGTGGCTTATTCCCAGTTATAAATAGTAATTAATAAGGTAATAATATTCTAAAAGTAAATTTTATTTGTTTTTTGTCGAAAATAATGTCCTTTCAGGACTCTGAATATGGCTTTGCGTTAACGCAACTATGGGACAATATGAATAATACATAGATTTGACTAATTTCTTGTGCAAACCTGACTCACCTGATAAGTACGTGGTGTTTATTTTATAAACACGTTATTCATATATATATATATATATATATATATATATATATATATATATATATATATATATAATGGCTAAAACCGCAAATGCTTTCTAGATCCTATTTCTTAAGTGGATCAGTCTTTTTTGTTTATCTTATCTTCTTGACAATATCTTCCCATTTTTTCCTGTCTCTAGTTCTTCCTGTCCATTCTCTGACTCCTGCCCTTTGTAGGTCTTCTTCAACTTCTTGCAGCCACTTTGATCTCGGTCTTCCCCTTCTCTTTTTTCCTCCTGGATTTCATTCTATCATTGCGTATGTCACTGCCTCATCGCCTGCTCGCCAAATGTGACCTAACCATCTAACTCTGCATTGCTTTATTTTAGTTACGATGTCTTCCTTAAGTTCTTTCTTAATTTCTGCATTTGTTCTGCTTCTATATTCATGTTGCTCTGTTCTGATTGGTCCTAGTATGGTTCTTATAATCTTTCTCTCTGCTATTTTCAAGTCTTCTTCATCTTTTTAAACCATCGTCATTGTTTCTCCTGCATATAATAATATTGGTCTAATTATGGTGATATAAATGCTCATCTTACTTTTTTTAGTCAGTGTTTTGCTTTGTCAAGTAATTTTTTGTTTGCAAAATAAGCTTTATTCGCCGGTAATATTTTTTCTTTTATTTCGGATTTCCTTTCTCCGGATTTACTTATTGTAACTCCTAGGTATTTAAAGTATTCTACTTCTTCAAACTCAGAACTTCCTATTTTAATTTTTTCTTTCATTGGTTTTTTCCCTAATCTTAATATTTTTGTCTTTTCTTGATTTATTTTTAGCCCCATTACCTCCCCTTTCTCTCTTATTTCTTCAAGCATTTCTTTCATTATTTTTCTGTTCTTTGCAATAATAGCAATATCCTCTGCATATGCAATTATTTGACCACCTCTTGTTCTGAGATTTCCTTTGTTTATATTTCGCAGTACATATTCTAATGCTAGATTAGATAGCGTTGTTGATAAGGCATCTCCCTGTTTCATCCCTTTATTTATACTGAATTCCTCTGTCTCTCCTCTTTCTGTATTTATGCTTATTTTTGTAGTTCTCGTTGTCATTTTTATTAATTTTCTGAGTTTTTGTGGAATTTTTAATTTTTTAAGTACTATCATTAATACGCTTCTTTTAATTGAATCAAATGCCTGTTTGAAGTCTATGAATAACATTTCCAATTCTAATTTATACTCGTTTGCTTTTTCCATTATTTGTTTTATTGTGTGTATTGCATCTATTGTAGACCTTCCTTCTGTGAATTCACATTGGTACTGTCCTACTGTCTTCTTTGTGATCTTTGGTAACCTCTTTTTTATTATTGATGTCAATATTTTATATGTTGTATGTAGTAATATTATTTTTCTATAATTTTCACAGATTTGTTGGTCTCCCTTTTTATGTACTGTTATGATCTGCCCTACCTCCCAGTCCCCTGGCATTTTCTCTTCTTTCCATATATTTTTCAATAGTGCCAGTATTTTTCCTCTTAGTTCCCTTCCCCCGTATTTTATTAGTTCCATATTAATTCCATCTATACCAGGGGCTTTTCCATTTTTGCTTGTCTATATTACTTCATCCAATTCCTCTAATGTTGGTTCTTTTAAAATTTTGATGTCTACTTCATCTACTTCATCTGCTTCTTCTTCTTGTACCGTTTTCTCCTCGTTATGCATTTCTTCTTCTGTTGTTTTCTTCGTCAAGAGCTATCTTTAGTAATCTCTCCATACTTGCTTGTATTCTTGGTTCTCTATTATCACTATTCCCTATCCATTTTTATTCCGTTTGTTTTGCCCTTGTATTTTTTGTTTTGTTCTTTAATCTTTTTGTAAAAACTTTCGTATTTCTGTTTGTTCTTTCCTGCTCTATTTCCTGCATTTTTTGTCTATCCATCTTCTTTCATTTTGCCTTATCACTTTCTTAGCTTCTTCTTCTTTAAGTTCCATCTTCTATCGAAGGTTGGAAATCATCATGGCTATGCGGACTCTGTTGACTGCCGCTCTAAAAAGTTCTGCACTACTGCATACAAAGCACTACTTTCTTAGCATTCCTTCTTAATTTTTCATATTCTTCTCTGTCTTTCTCTTTATCTGTTCTTAGCCATTTATTTCTGGCTTGCACTTTTTTCTTGTTATTTCTCTACATTCTTGGTTATACCATCCGTTTTTTGTTTTAGCCTGACTTTTACCTATCTGCATATTTGCACCTTCTTCTATTGATTTTTTTATTGTCGCCCATTCTGTGCTTATGTCTTCTGCTTTATATTTCTCTTTTATTTAAACTGTTACTACCTCTTCATATTTTTTCTTACTTCTTTATTACTCAATTTATTTACATTCCACTTTTTATGTTGGTTTTTTTGTTTTGTTTCAATTTTAACTTTTTGTCTTATAGTGGCTGTGACCATGTAGTGGTCGGAATCTGCACACGCACCTCTGAACGTTCTTACATCTTTTATTGACGATTGTTTTTGTTTATTAATCAGTATGTGATCAATTTGACTATATGCTTTCTGATCTGGTGACCTCCATGTTACCTTATGTGTTTTAGGGTGTTTAAATTTTGTTAAGCTTATTAACAAATTTGTTCTTGTTGCTAGGTTACATAGTATTTGCCCATTGTCGTTCGTGCTTTCGTGTATTGTATGCTTTCCTGCAATTTGTTGTAAAAAGTCCTCTTTTCCAATCTTGGCGTTGAGGTCTCCTAGTACAAATATGACATCTTCTTTGGGTTTTTTTTCTATCTCCTCTTCGACCTTATCATAAAAGATTTCTTTTTCGTCTGCATTACTTGTTTCTGTGGGAGCGTATAAATTCAAGACTGATATATTAAATGGTTTGCAGTTGACTCTAACATTTGGCTTGGAATTTATAATTTTCTCTCTTAGGTGCCTTAGTATCATGAATCCCACGCCTTTTTGCCCTTGCTTCTTTCCCTCTGAATATAACATTGTAAAGTCTTGTTTATCAATCTGTCCCTGTCCCTCCCAGCGTAATTCTTGTAGTGCTGCAATATCTATTTTATACTTTTTGAGTTTTTTTAAATTTTTTTTTCTAAATTCGCAGTTAGATTTTAGGTTAGAACTTGTGCGAAGCCTTGTTAGCATTAACAAAAGTAGCAAAAATCTGTTAGAGGTCGTGGCTCTAGTTTATCCTATCCATCTACCTCGCGTTTGGATAATATATGTGCCACATAAATGAACGCAATAATGAAAATTGGAGAAGGCGTTGTCGGCTATGTAAAAGTACAACTGTTTTAATGTGTAAAAAAATTAATGTACCATTGCATCCGCATTGTTTCAAAGACTACCGCAAGTGACAATAAAAATATTTTTATGTTATATATATATATATATATATATATATATATATATATATATATATATATATATATATATATATAGTCCCAATGTTGCGTTAACGCAACGTTAAAAAAATGGACGTGTAGTTTTTATGTAGCTTTTAAATATCTTTATTTGTGTTTAATTAAATATATGTTGTATAAAAAATCATTGGTTTTATTATATTTTTTACAAGTGGACCTAAATGGGTTAAATCAGGTTAGATGAGAATTTAGAACTAACTAAGGTAGACATGAAAGTAACTAAAGTAGACATATTTTTAGCTATAATTGTAGAGTTTTAATACTTTACCTTGTTTAATTAGTGTGTTTGTTGTATTTTGAATTGTTGATTTTGATTTAGATAATGTAGTAGGGACGTATCTAGGCTTTTGTTTAACATCTACACAAGAAGGTGGAGAATTACCATAGCCTCCATTTCGACAGAACCTAAAATGTATTTCTATTGACAACAACATCTAAATATGTAAAAAGTTAATTGTATGTATGTATAATTCCATTATAGTACATTCCAATTTTTTAGAATGCCTTGTGACAGAATGATCGTCACCAAACCAAAAGATTCCATATCTGATTTAATTTTATTATACCCTATTCGAATAATTTCTAGCTAAAGTCCCATGGACGCTAGGCAACAAGTTATTGCGTCTGGTAGTTTGTGGATATTCCGGATATTTTAAAAATTTCTACAGAATCGCTGCATCCGAGTTTGAATTTTTTTTGACAAAATTTGGACCTTACATTCAAAAACATTTAGTTCGAATAACATAGTTTTAACAGGCATCCTATGAATCGTTTGTTTGATTGTTTAAAGTTGATTGGGCTGATCCATCATAGGGTGATTCATGTGCTTGAAGTTCACATTGTGTAGAGCCACCAAAGTTTTGAGCATAGGTAATTGGTTCAGACATTGGAGAAGGTAGAAAATGTTGAGAATATGGCGAGATCTGCTGAGAATATAAAGAGAATGTTGAGATTTATGTGAATATGATTGTGATGTACGAGCTGGTGTTTGTTGTCCTATATTATTCTGCAGAATTGACCTATGAAAGATTGAATTTCTCAACCGAAACATCATGTTATCTATCTTATGCATGGCTTATTCTTGAATGTTACCATCCACTGCACTCAATTTGGTGATAAGCAATTCAACAAATAATTGTAAATTATCCTTTTCCGGCTTGCAATGAACATCTGCGCTTTAAAATTTTAAGGGCCTCAACCATTTGGTGTTGTACTTGCTCTGTTGTAGTTACTTTTCTTTTTTTTTCCTTTAGCCGTTTATATGACAACTGGTTTTTACGGTGTTTTATCTTCACCTTCTATATCATCCTGATTTTGAATAGCACTAGAAGCAGAAGGTTAATGTGATAGTGCATCTTTGTTTTCAACACAGTGATGTTAAAAAGTTCTGCATCACCTAACGGCCTTATAGTTTTTGAGGTTTAACATATGTTTTTTGAATATTTTCGGTAATTAATTTTAAGTTTGTGATTGTAATTAGCAGTATCGGAATACTTACTAATGTTTTTTTAATTACTAACCCAAAATTCTACAAAAAAAATTTAAATAATCTGATTAAAGGAATTTCGCATAATACAAGAAAATTATGAGGTGATTATTAAGTCGTTAAAGTACTATTAAATTGAATCATAATGACAAAATTGCTACATATTTTAACTATATAAACACTGTAGTTACCCTAACATATTTATTTACTCTTTGATTTTTGATAAAAAGGTCAAAATGTCATCCCAAACCAAACAATCTAAATTATCAGACGAAAAACATTTTGAAATTATTTTTCGCCATAAAACGACAAATCTAGTCGCGAAATAGCATCCGCAGTAAACTGTAATCAATCTACAGTAATTAGAGTCATTCAAAAGTATGCTTACAAGGGAAAATCGACGACAGACCACGTAGTGGCCGACCAAAGAAAACTTGTGTTCGGGATGACGCTGCGTTAAGTAGAACGAGTCTGGCAGACAGAAGCCTTAATTCCACCCAATTGACGAAGCTGTGGTCTGAAGCTACAGGTGTAAGCGTGTGCACTTCCACTGTGAGAAAAAGACTGCTTGTTTTGGACTTCGAGGATGTAAGGCACGGAAGAAACCACTGCTTTCATCCTAATAATCAGCATAATAATAGCCTAATTTTTTTATTATTGAATTAAAAAATTTCCGAATTACATTTTTTTATTAATCAAAATTTTTGCCGTGTTTCTGTTTTATAATATTGTGTTTAAGTGCTTGTTTGATGTAGATAGTAAATGGTTAAAAAATATTTAAGGTAACTGTCTTTAACTTCTATTTTCATGTATTTGGAAAGTTGATGCAGGACTTTTTAACACCGCTGTAGATTCTAAAACAGTCTCGTCTTCAGAGCCTTCATTTGTAGTCTCCTGAAAAGATACAATAAATAATATGTAACAATTTATCAGTAGTTTGTATATTTTTACGATGGTTTAATATTTTTTTAGATTCCTGAAACTGAATAATAATGGATAGAAGAAGCTGCAGATTCTGAAGAAAGATGGAATTTCTCGCATTGCGGAAGTGCAATGAACGGGAAGCACGTATTAATATAAACACCAAAAAACAGTGCAACAGAGTATTATAATTACAAAGGAACATTCAGTATTTTTCTATTTGCACTTGTAAATGCCAATTATTTATTCAAATTTGCGAACATAGGATGCCAGGGACGAATTAGTGATGGTGGAGTTTTTCGCAACACAGTCCTATTTAAGAAATTAAACACAAACCAACTGCAATTACGTCCTGCAAAACCCCTAATGCCGTTAAGCGAATATAAATCATATGTTATAGTGGCCGATGATGCATTTGCTCTTAGTCTTAATATTATGAAGCCATACCTACATAGGTGTTCAAGTAAGGGGCAGTGCTAAGAGAATATTCAACTACAGGTTATCAAGAGCCTCATTAATTACTATGACCTGCGTCTTAATTCATAATTACCTGAGAAAAAGTAAAGTATCCAAGTCAAGAGATTTGCCACCAGGTTCTTTCGATTCTGAGGAAAATGGAGGACTTATTTCATGATTATGGCGTGAGGGTCAAGGTGACATAAATTACTTTTTACTCATACAAAAGCAATCTCTAAAAGCATCTTTAAACGCAAAAGAAATTAGGGATAAATTTTCAAAATATTTCCAGTCCAATGATGGAAAAGTACCGGCAAGAAGATCAGTAAAAAGTTGAATTTTATACATATTAAACTTACTATATTTTTCGAAATAAATTATTATAAAATAAAAACTTACCGCTGAATTTATTGTCCTCCCTGGAACATAAATTGAATGTAAAAATCTATCAATCGGTTCATAGAAAGTCCAAGTCGGCGTGTAAATGTCATCGGATTCACTTCCACTTTTTTTGCATTGTGCTACTTTATTTGCATATTTTCTATATATAGCGAATAAACCATCTTTTTTCTTTTTTAGTTCTTTCATTGGTGTTGCAAATGTATTTTGTAATCTTGTCCATGCCCCGTACATAATGTTTCTGTCCTTATAGCCCTCGTGTTTTGGATTCCATATTACTTCTTCCAATTGCAACGCTTTAATAAATTCTAGTGATTTTTCTGCGGCCCATGCCATTTTAGTGTAATTTTATTTTAAAATACACTCCTTGTACTTGTAACGTACCGTTTAAAATACACGACTGATGAATAAATTCGCCCTGTTAGCAGAGGTTCATATTACAACAAATCTACACGAACCTTGTACGAAGTCAATAGCAAACCGAATATGTCAGACGGTGCGTGGATCGTGGTTCGTTAAGACAGTCTCGCCGAATCACGCGCCGTGTAACTACGCCTTAAGAATAGTTCTCTTAAATTTTCTGGGATTCCGAATTTTTTTTGTGCCATCTGCTTTGCCATATTTTAACTACTTTGCTGTGGAAATATGATTTGAAATCTGTTGCTGAAGTTTTTGGATAGAACTCAATAGTTGTGTCCTTTAAGGCTTCTCGTGCGCATTTATCCGCCAGATCGTTTCCCCGGATTCCAGTATGAGATGGTACTCACAAGAGAACAATGTTTCTTTGATTTAGGTTGTGCAATTTTTATCTAATGAGTTTGGCCACAGGATGGGAAGAATAGAAACTTGAGATGATTTCTAGAGAACTTAGTAAGACAGTAATTATTAAATGGTTAGTTTCAGGACATTTTGTAACGTGACATATGGCTTTATATATTGCAAAGAGTTGTCTTGTTAAAATGGTATTAGTCTCCGCAAGTTTATATTTCTTTATTTCATCCTTTGATACAAGGGCAGATGCTACACAACGTTCTGTTTTAGATAAATCTGTGAATAACTGTTTAAAGAAAGAAAATTGAGAAATTAAGGTTTTAAGTTTAGAATTAATTAGATGACGATTGCTTTCTTTCTTATTTTCTGACAATAGATCCAAATTTATGTGAGAAGAGATTAGTCAAGGAGAGGAAGTTAGCATCTTGCTAGGATAGATTTCGTGGACTTTAAGGTTTAATTTATTTATAATTCGTCTGCATCTTTCGTAAAAGGGAATGTGGATTTTTGCGTGCTTGATATTCGAACAGCGAATGGTTTGGTGATATTGTAAATATTAACGCTTCGATGCATATGAGAGCAATAATTCCGGTCTTCTTAAATCTAATGGTAGTTCACCAAGTTCTGCCTGAAGAATTAAGATAGGGGTTGTTCTAAGTACACTGCTTATTATTCTAAAAGCGTTATTTTGAATGGTTTTTAAAACTTTTAGAGTTGTTGTTAAAACAGACGAGTAAGCATGGCATCCAGATTATAATCGATTTTGGAACGTATCAGATTTTTATATAATATGTGTAAAGTTCTACCCCAGTTCGTACCAGAAAGACATTTCTAGAGGTTTAGTCTTTTTTAACATATAGTTGATGTGGTCCTTCCAGGTTAGAGCTTTATTAAATATAAAACTGAGATATTTATTTGTATTTACATATTCAACTGTTGTAATGTAAAGAGGATTACCTACAAAAAACTGGAGAACTCTTAAATGATACTAAGTATTACACTACACTTAGAAGGAGTCCTGTTTGTACTTTACAACAAGAAGCAAATTGTCTAGTATCAAAATTAAACAGTAAGAAATTTATTGATAATAAAAAAGCAAAACAACTCAAAATTTATAATTCTATTGCACCACGGTTTTATGCTCTAACTAAAATACATAAACCAGCTTTATCTATGAGACCAATTGTTTCATCTCTATGCCCTCCAAATGGACCAATATCACAGCTCATCACTGACATCTTAACCAATGCTTATAATTGAAACTACAATTTTTACATAAAAGATTAATTTGATTTTAGTTCTTTCTTTAATAATTTCCAATTACCACAAAATTATGTTTTAGTTAATTTTGATGTAACATCTCTTTTTACCA